AGCAGGCGCAGCCGAGCCGAGATCGAGGGGGAAACCGCCGGAAAAAAGGCCCGGATGGCCAAGGCTACCGCCTGCAATTCACGCACATTGATGTGCGTTAACGAGCGATCAAAGAAGCCTCTCGCCAATTGAGGATGATCGGCGTGAGGGGGAGTGAAAGTCGCACCCCAACCCGTCAAGGAAGCATCCGTAGCGAGGGTACCCGCAAAGGGCACCCCGTCGGGATTAAGGGGGCGGCCATCACACCGATGAAGATGGACCCAGGCCTCTAGATCGAGGCAGGCTTGCGGGGTCAATCGAAGACGATCCCGCCAAGAGCGTTTGGTCCGGAGCACAGCATAAAGGCTCTGAAGAAAAAACCGGGCAAGGGGAAAGGCTAAATAAACCGAAATAGCCTGCCCACAAAAGCGAGCCAGATCCCGAGCCACTACCCATTTCCGGGCCCGAAGGACCCGGGCCTTTTCGGCCAGGAGTGTCACCTTGTCCCGGGGAACGAAGAAACGGCAAGCGTTGGTGTCCACCACCACCCCGAGGTGGCGCTTGACCCGAACCGGCTCCCACTGGCATTTCCGATCCTTAAAGCGAATCCCCAGGGCCCCAAAAATCTCCCTAACTAATTGGGACCATTCTCGCAATTTCTGGGGATCGCTCAGGGCGGCCAGAAAATCATCCAAATAGGCCAGGATAATGGCGGGGTCATCGATCGCATAACGCACATAGTAGCGTTGGATCGAATCATTCCCCGCGAGACTGCCAAAACGGAATTTTTGCGCCGCTTTGGTACATGACCCCGGAGAGCGAAGGAAACGAGTAACCACCAACATAAAATGGGTGAAAAAGTAAGGAGATAAAGAGAGACCAAAGGGGAGGGCGCGGCAAGCGAAGACCTCCCCGTCCATACGAAACTGTAAAAAGCATTCGTCAGCCAATCTCATCCGTAAATGATGGTAGGCATCCTTCACATCAAAACCGACCAAAAAATCATCCTTTTTCAACAAATGACCAAAATCCCATAATTTTTCGTACCGCAAGCCCATCTTGCGCAAGTGCCGATTAATGCGGCGGAGATCGACGCAAAGTCGATACTTCATCACTCCATCCTCCCGCCCTTTTTCCACCAAGAACGCGCGAGAGATGCGCGAAGAGGGGCCGGGGTCTACCTTGACGATCGCGCCCGAATTCAAATACTCCTCGCGGAGGGCCGTCCAGCCCGCCCGCTCCTCCGCCGAACGGATCGGGTATTCGCCCAGGTCGAAAGGCGGGGGAGGTCCCTGCGGTCCCCAGGGCAGCGGGACGCCCGAATGGATCCATTGAAGAACGTGCGATGGCGCTCCAATCCTCCACCATGCCGAGAGGCGTCCGCGGGTGCGATTATACGGGAAGTCGGTCACGCGTCCGGAGGTGGACGCGCCGCTTGAGGGGGATTGCGCCTCTTGCCCCGCTTCCCCGACGGGCCGCTCGAATGGGGAGGAGGATCGCCGCTCCCCGCCTTGGACGCCCGGCTGGCCGCGGCCGCCTTGGTCGCAAGCTTGACCTCCTGGGTGAGGAGCTCCTTGCGAATGGCACCGAGCGTCCCGTCGATGGTGTCGGTGGTGAAGCCGCCTTCGGGCTCGCTGAGGCGGATCTGGGCCTGGAGAGCCCGCCAGGATCCCTCGAGCCCGGTGCCGCGATGCTTCGCGTGCACCTGATGGAGGCGCAGCTGGTCGACCTGCCGCTCGGTAATGGCCACCGAGGCGTAAACGTATGGCAGGAGAAGATCCCGGATCGAAGGCGGTAGACTTGGATGGGCGACAAGGTCCACGAAGCACGCCGCAAAGCCGAACTGCCATGCGACCCACGGCGCCCAGCTCGCGTACTCCTGGAAGTAGCCGGAGTTGGGTCCCAAGGCCGCGGCGACGGTCTGGCCCTGGCCGGTCTCCCGTACGTCGAACCACGCCGGAAAAGACGTGAAGTCCGGCCTGGCGACCCGGTTGTTGACTGAGCGGGGGAGTAAGCGGGGGTCGGAAACCCACGTGACCTCAATAGGACGGTCAGGGAGGCGCTGGTTGAAACGAAGCGCCTGAGCCCGCAGCCACTGTTCGGCCGGGCTGGGGTTCATACAGAAAGGACTCGGCGCGAAGGCCGGAAGGTCGAACCACTCTGTGGTTCCGGGTTGTGCCAAAGGTTGGCGCGAAGCGAAACAAGATAAAGGGGGGCGCCAAGGGTCGCGCCTAAAATAGCCGCTCCCACTTGCCGCCAAACTCCCCGCCAAACCCAAGGGCCAGCTTGACCGGTCCCCTTGGCTGCGCCCAAGGTACAAGGATCAACCCCACCGCCCTTGGATGCGTCGGGCAGTACTGACCCCGAGTACAGGGGTGACAGAAACCGGCTTACGACTGGCCCCAAACTGTCCAAAAGGCGGAACGGCCCGACCTGGCCGTTGCGCGCCCTCCCAATCGTCGCCCTTCGCAGAAACCCATTAACAAGATAGTTAATTCCATAAACGCAAACGTAAATACCAAGCCTGAGCCAGGTTTACGGCGCGTCCAGGTGCGGTCCCGCGAGACGGGTCTTGGTCCGAGGGCGCGGTCCGCCGTGGCGAAGCCCCCCTTTCCATCCACCGTTTCATTTTCGGTGCCCGGCTGGCTGCAACCACGCGCGTCGACCGCAACGCGGCTTCCGCGCGCCGCGTCCCTTGGACAGCTATTTCCATTCCCAAAGGGGGCGACGCGTTTTGGCGTCCGGCCGTCATCGGCCCCCGCTCGTACCGCGCACAGGGCGCCCTTGGCCGCCACGGCGAACTTCCCAATTTTGGACAATCCGCTGGGTTCCGCACGGGCTCCTTCCTGGGACCCCCTGGGCGGGCCCGGCCCCCCCCGTCTGACGCGTGAGGCTCTGAATAATCGCACGCCACTTCACGCCTTGTTTGAGGCCGCAGTGGCCGGGGCACACCACACGTGACGGCGGAGCTGGAAAAGCGCCGCTGCAGGCACCCAAACGGGGTCACGCCCCCCCCGGGGCGCTTCACTCTTCCGTCGCAGGGTGGGCACGGGCCGAGGCTGCCCGGTGGACTCGGTCGATCCTGGCACTGAAGGTCCTTGGAGGTGGGACGATGGTCCGACGTCCGCGAATGCGCCCGAGGACGCTGGCACCTTGGGGCTCGATCGACCCCCGCCCCCACCCCCCCCAGCCCCCCGGCCCCCTATTCGCCGGCGCGCGCAAACGGGCGCGTCAGGATCTCGATCGCCGCCGAGGGCGGTGGTTTCGGCCGGTCCGCGTGACGCGCAGGCAGGACGATCAGTTGTCTGGGCGGGACGGCGGGACTGAGGGAAGGCGCATTGCGCGAGAGTGGCGCTGGAGAATGTGTCCTGTCTGGGGCCTCGCCTGTCGTCGGGCCAGGGTGCCCATCTGTGGCCAGTCGGAATCTCATGCCTCCCTTGCACGTACTGGTGTGACGCTGCCGGACAACTCGACGCACAACGCTCCGGGCGATCCCCCGGAAGCGTCGGCACACAGATCTGCACGCGAAGCCGCGGGCGGGGTGGGCGGTGGCGCTGAGTCTGAAGGACCGATTCCAACGCGCCTGGGGGGAAGAACGGCGGAGCGGGCCTGCGATGCTCTTGACGGCGTGTCGACAGCTCACCGTAGGCCGTCTGTCCTGCCCCTGTGGCAGCCCTTCGCGACCTCGGGAGTGGATCGTGCTCTAAAAAGGATCCCGTCCAGCGGGGAGAGCCGTGGGCGCTGGCGCTCGGGCAATGCCGTGTACGGAAGTCGGGAGGGGCCGGAATCAGTCCTTGTCGTAGGGTGGCGACAGTGAGACGGGATTGTGGCATGTTGATCGCGGGGAAAGGTTTTTGATCCGCGTGGCCGTCGCCCGAGGCCTGGAGGTGCAGGAGGCCCGCGCGGGGACGCTGAGCGCCGGCTGCGAGCTTTTGGGCGCGCTTTGACGTTTCCTTGCCACCCCGATCTTCTCGCCTCTCGGGGCTGAGTGAACATTGGGGACAGAGCCTGGCGCGCTGCGAGCGAGCTGCAAACTACTGGCGCCCTATGTTGGTTGGTGCTTGACGGCGTGGCCCGCCCAGATGCGGGACAATCTTGAAGATCCTGTCTGCGCGGCCGTGGGTACGCACGGCCTGCAAGAGTCGCTCGCGGGTGCCCGCCAGCGTCCCCTTCACAGTGCCCGGGATGACTGCCCCGTGGTGGCGCTGCGTGATTGGCCGTCCAGCGGGGTGTGCGTGGTAGGGGGCATGTGGGTCGCGCGTGAGGCGCGTGGGACGGCGGTACACCTGGGCGGTGGCCGGAGCGACCCTCCAACGTGGTTGTGTGTCGCGGTACCGTGACGCATACCTGCACCGGATTTGTCCCTGGCCGTGAAACGGACCCCTCGCCCCATGCAGATTGCGCATCAGGATTGTACTGGATTCGTAACATGTCCAACACCGCATCTTTGTCCTCCCTGCGCCCCCTGGTCGGGCCATGCGTCGTGCGTCATCCGCCGTGTGCGCTCAGCTCTTCCGATAGGCCCAGCGCATCCGGCGCTTTGGCGGATTGCTGAAGAGGGGAGCACATCACGAGGCACAGGAAATTGGGGCAGGAGTGAAGAGAGGGCCAGCCTCTTCCATAACTGATTGCGTTACAACACCAACTGGAAAAATCACCTAAGCACCGATTGGGTTCCCTTGGATTCACCCACCCCATTGCGCAAACAGCCGGGACCAATACACGCCAGTTTCTGTGGCGTGGCTGCCGGTAGAGCTCGTTGCAAACGAATCAACGGGCAATAACGTTGCTGGAGTTAACTTTTGGTTGTACCGCCATAAAGCAACCTCGGTGGATCCACGCACCTCGAATCGCGTCCCCTTCAAAGGGACAAATTTGTCTCCCCACCATGCGACAGAGACCCTTTTGCCCTGCCTGCAGGTTCTGGTGCCCACCCAACGAAGTGCTGTCGATGTGAGAGGGCAGTCCATCGGAAGTCGGGGAGGGGGGTGCAAGGCGGCTGGTGCTAAGGACTTGCAGGCATGGAGACGGAAGCCAGCGTGGATTGCTCCAGGCCGTGCCCTCCTGAAAGCAAGTCAGCCGATTGCGGGGTGGGGGCAGGGAGCCCAGGGCCGAAGCAGAAGGGTGGTTGTGCACGCCAACCCGTGAGACGCGGGGGTGCGCCAGAGGCGCCAGGAAATGCGGAACCAACTGAACATTTAAGGTTGCAAACAGGAATGTGGGTTGCAGATGGGAGAACGCGGGGTGGGTGCGAACCGTCAGGTCCTCGTAGGGTCAGTGCGGTCGATTGTGGGTGTGGGGGAGCAGCGTCGTCATCCTTTGAGTTTGACGCCAGGGAAGGGGAGCCCCTGGTGGGCAGGGGCTGGGAGGACAGCGCCGGCCGGCGGGTGCAGACTGTGAGAGTGGACTGGGCGTCCTTCACCCTCACCAGCGTGTTCACGGACCTTGGGGCCCAGCGCCCGGGACACAGGTGGCGCGGGCAGATGCCGCCCGCGTCCTGCGGCCGCCGGGCTATTGGCCTGTTTGATGATGACATTGGGTACGATCGCAGGCGCCAGGGGCACGTGTCCGCTTGCGGGATGCCCAGGTTGTGGTGGGTGCAGAGAGGGCGGGCTGACGGCCTGGAGGCTAAGCCATCTCCCAATTTCGAGGAGGGGACGGGGGCTGCGATTCGGCCGCCAGTGGCCGCCCACAGCTCAAAGGCGGCCGCAGCAGATGGCAAAGGGAGCGGGGAACGTGGGGCCTTCCCCAGCAGGTCCACGGAAGATTGCGCCAAGAAAGGAATTGCGCACACTCATGGGGACACTTGCTCTGGATCTGGAGGGGTGGACGCTGCTGATCTTTGGGCGCCAAGCGACTCCGGCCGTGATGGCCGCTGCGACTTCAGCGGTGCTGTTTCCAGTTTGGCCGTGCCATCGGACCCGAGAGAGGGCCGATCCAGCAATGGGAGCACGGGGGGTCACTCGTCGCTCATGAAGATCCACATCCGCACACGCAAGGCCGGCTGCGACGCGTCCGCCGAATTGCCCCCTGGAGATGACAATTGCGGCTCTAGCTGCCACGGCGACCGGAGCCCTAGCGCGGAGACGGAGGGGACAAACCAGGGGCGGCCGAGCACTCATTCCGACGAAGAGGGTTCCCCGACGGTTAGCGAAAAAATGGCCGAGAGCATCAGCCAGACAATTTCCCACTCTGCGAACGCCCTGGAGCTGTTCAGCGACAGCAGCTCAAGGGAGGACTGGACGTCTCAGTGGGTAGCGCGGCACACGGGCGTAGGGGCCCCAGGGGCGCGACAGCGGCCGGAAGGAACTGATGGCAGCCTGGGGCACGTCGGGGACTGCTTTTCGGATGTGGGAGTCAGCGGCGAGGAGTGTGGTGCTGACGGCGGGGAGGGGTCGTGGGGCGAGTGCAGAGGGAGGAGGGAGCTCCTGAGGAGCCAGAGCAACCCTGAGCCCGAGCGCCGCGGCACCGGCGTCGTCAATTTCATGAAAAAGCTGAGGAAGAGGGCGAAGGGGCGCAAGAAGAGCGGCAAGTTGGGGTGGCTGCCGGCTGCCATGTGCCTTGGGGCCTCCGCGCGTGTGGCTGACAAGGACGGACGGCGGCAGGGCGATGTGCGTCCCGAGGAAAGGAAGAAGACGGCTTCCGCGGAGGACCGCCGCTCCAGGCACGAAGATGCAGCGCGGCTGCTTTCTCGCACGGCGTCAGACTCGCAGCTTCAGTTGAGGCGCTCCGGCACCTGCGACCTCCAGCACCAGTTGTTTTGTGACGGCCCCTCCCATGCGGACGGCCAGCCTTCACATTGGCGGTACCCTTCTTTCGGGAAGGAAAGCTCCAGCCCCTACGTTCCAGACAGCCTCTTTAGTGACAGCCTCTTCAGCCTCTTCAGCACGCAGACGCCCACCCAGGCGCAGTTTTGGCCTGGCCTGGACTCTGTCGCGCTGGCGGCCAGGCGCAGGGGAGCCCTGCTCAACAGCGACAGCCAGAACCTTACAATCACTTGGTGCTCGCACACGGGCACCAGCCTGTTCAGCGGATTCAGCATGCAGACCCCAACCCGAGCGCAGTTCTGGCCTGGAAAGGAAACTCTGGGCATCTGGTCAAGTGGGACGATGGAAAGGTGGGAGAGTTTCAATGGGGTCTTTGGCTGTTGAGTTGATGTCGGCGTTCATCAGATTGGTAATGTCTATGCGCCACATGCAGCATCGACAACGTAGAACGTCATGTCTAAGGTTGTAAATTTCCAAGTACGCAAGTAGCTGCATTATTAATCGCCATAATGGAGCCAGCATTGTCCATCCGGAAAAAAACTGGCAGCCAGTGCAATTAGGTGTGCCAGATAGTACATGAAGAATTGGTGCGAGTTGGACCACGAGCGGACTTCATCATGGCCTTCGCAGAAAATCCAAAGTGCCGTTTCTTTTCAACAACTTTTCTTCTGTTTTGAGGCATCGAGAGAGAGTGTACTTATTGAAAATGGCACCAAAGATATGGTGGAGATCACGAGACTTGTTCTTATTTGCGCTGCACTACTTATACTTTTGCACAATAATAAAACTATCACCAGTTTCAATATAGCATTGAAACTGCTGAAGTCAAATTAAAATACTTCTTATCATGTTTCTTGGTGCATGCCAAGCAGCATGATGACTTGTATTTCAGTTCGACTTCAGCACGCTTTAGCAGCAGCAAAGGATGAAGAGCTCGTGTCAGAATACGCGGTTTTATCTGTACAATACGTTGTAAACATGGACAAAAACTGTACGGAACAGGTGATTATCGGCCAATGCTGGTTCCACGCGCACTTTAAGAACTTACCTCTGCAATCAAATCCAAACCGTGCTGCACGTCAAATGAGCATTGCTAGTCAGGACTTTACAGATTCTGGGCCACAAGGCACCCAGGCACAGGAGTCAAATTGTTAGAGATGGCTTGCCAGACGCACTCCACATCAAGTACGCCATTGCAACTCCATACATTTTCACCACACCCACATTGTGCATATACCATATGGACCGGCTTGGTTTTTACGTTTACGTTTACGTTTACGTTTTTACTTTTACGTTTTTACGCGTCAAAACGTAAATTTGCAAAAGACCCTATTTTTACGGCTATTTTTACGTTTTTGCGGCTCCCTTGGACGCCCAAATTACGTGATGAAAGTTGCGTACAATGATCAGTCTTCCGCCATATCCAGCACCCTCAACACAGTGTCCACCTCGCCCTTGGCAAGGGCGATGATGGTGTTTGACAAGAACTCGTTTCCTGCCCCTTCCAGGGCGTCTGGCTGCCACTCTCCGGACTCCGTAAGTCTGTATGTACTGTCCTTATGTACACCGGGCAGTTTTTACATTGTATTTACGTATTTTTACGCATTTTATGCATAAAAACGTAAAAACTGTTTTTACGCATAAAAACATAAATACGATCAGTTTTAACGGCGTAAAAACCAAGCCTGCATATGGATGTGCATGCACCTAATGTATAACCATATGTTTGATGTCTCCGTGTACAAACACAGCGCCCTCACAATATTCATGGGTCTCAGTGAGACCATCTCACAATAGCGCTAACAATGACCAGGCATTCCCAGTGCACTAGTTCAATGTCCTGTGACACGCTCTCATTCGCACATTTGTTGGACTGCTGCAGAACTGTTTCATCAAGGCACTCACCACCCAGGCATCCTAGTGCCAACTCCATGGCGGTTTCTCACCAGCCCGACAACCAGCTCCTCACTGGGCAGCCAGAAAGCCTTTCAAGAAACACCACCATTAATCACTGGATCCAGCAAGGCGTCGATGCAGCTGCTCAGAAGGGTTCTCTGCCTGCGCATGGGCCTCAGGCACCCGTGCTGGATTTTTCGGGTCAACTTTCAGGAGGGGGAATCGATACTGGACCCGACATCCCGTCCCCAAGTGCATCTCCGCAGTCTGCTGCCGGTCGCCCAGCACCATTAAACGCCAGTGGTGCCGCCCTGGCGGCCTCCGCAACTTCAGGGTCTGCCAAGATTGGATCATCTGGCGGCATGCAGTCCATGGAGGCTGCCAAGAGGTGCAACGGCAAGTGGAAGCTTGACAATCAGCAGACCGACAACTTGCAAGGGTTGAGCGCGTTCATGGAATTGGGGTGGTGGAAGCAGGGGGCGTCGAATGCAAACGACTTGTTCAAGGTATCGTGGCCGTGCAGCAATGCGTTCTTCATAGGGTGTGCGTGGCAAGGGGAGACTCTCTTTTTCTTAGTGTGTTTGGGCTGTGTTCGATGGACAAATCACATTGTCCCGCACGAGGATGGATGAAACTGAATATGGTTGATAGTGTGGTGATCCAGACGTTGTAGTATGTGATGATCAGTCGCCTTGCAAACTCCCTTATATAGGGGCATACATGCGCTGTCTGCTGTCACCACAGGGATGACCTTAATCTCCGCTTCGCAGCAATAGCTGCAAGTTTGTTTTCCTGCAGTAATCTGTGTCCTGTACCCTCTGCGTGCGTTGCCCTGCACACTCTGTACACTCTGTATTGGTCTAACGATTCCATCCAAGACGATTAACAGAAAGTGGTTCTTTGATGCGAAGGGCCGTCCTTTACCAGACAGCCGGAGAAACTTGTCGCGGCTATTCATTCAGTGCGCCTCTCGGGAGGTGCTGTCGGCAATTGGGACAGTGGATGCTGAGTCGCCTTTTCCTCATCGTGCAGGTGCAGGTTCGCGGACGAGCCTACTATTGGTCATGCGACGTCTTACGGTTGTGCGAAGCGGCCACGCGGCTGCCCCTCTCTGGCGCACCAGTGACGCAGCGCAGGCTGGACGGCAGGCCGGGGTACACCGTGACGTGGGCGGAGCCTCGTGAGGAGGGCATGGCCGTAATGTAGGCACTGAGGCACCTGCCCCTGGCTACCCACCCCTCCCGGTCTCTTGTATTCCACTTCTCTGGTTGACTGCCTGAAGCGTGCATCAAATTGAAGTTGATGCCACTACGGGATGCTGAAAAAAAATGGCGTTAATACATGGTTTTAAAAACACGATTTCGGCCGATTCCGGCACTTTTATACCCCAATGCGCGATGCGGTCCTTTCTTAACACAATTTGAACGCCGTCAGAAGATGTCTGAGGCAGTAATTTACCAGTGGCAACGCGGCGTTCTCGCAATTTCGTGACTGCACTGCATTCCATGCATTCTATTTTAAGGATCCGATGCAACTACTAAGTGTCCAAAATATCTTTTCCTGTCGATGGCCGCATCACTGATGCGATCCATAGATTTCGCGGCGGTGTTGCAGGGCTACGTGGGGGGAGCCTTGCAGTGGCATGTGCGAGGACGTCTTCAATCTTTCCCACAATGGTCGAAAACTGACCAGAACAACCAGGCTTGCCCACAATGGCGGCCAGTGCAGTGCTGTTAGGTGGGTCGGCCGGGGTCTTTGGATCTCATATTTGCATGCTCTGGTCCTTGGCGCACATAAACCGCAAATTGTTTGGATTGTAACTGCGGAAGGCAACTGCCCAATGTGCTCTGCATGGCACACTTTGGCGCCGGGATCCAGCGGAGGACCGTCGAGATTGTATATTTCAGTGCTCCATTGTGCAGATCAGTTTTGCACCATACTTGAAGTTCGTGATCGCCGTTAGACGCTACTATTCCACAAGGGAGAACCTCACAGTATTGACGTTTCTCAGCACCGCATTCAATCTGCAAAGTAAAGATGCGAAATGAGCGAGCTACTATCAGTCGCAAAAAGCATTTTGCCATCCATTCTTGTGACGGGCTCAAGTAATGGGTCATTCTTGCATTTCTGTTCGGAGCGCTGAATTTGATCCACTTTTTTCCTGAATGAAGTCGATTTCCTTTGCTCACCTATTATGATCAAATTCCTTTGCTCGTTTTCCACCCACCTAGGACTGTGCCACTATGCAGCCGCGCAAAGAACAATGCGCACATGTACGGTTGTTGCCTGACATGCTGCCATCATGATAGCAGTCTCTGGGGCAAACGCTGCACACAAATTCCGAATTAATTGAACGATCATATGAAAGCACATCCACCAGAATGGCGCTCAGGCCTGCAGCCGGACTGGACCAGAGCCCCTCGACTGCGCATCACTGCAATGATTGTCATTCCGGAATGACAATGACAGAGGGTCCTGTGAATGCAGATGAATTCTCTGGAAGCCTGCGTCCTGTTAAGTATTGGGAGGGCGCGATTTCACAGGCGCGCTGTCTGCCGCGAATTCGCCCCAATACAGCCCGTGCTCGGTCGTGTTAGTTGTCCATGGAATGCGCAAGTCGTGCGTGCAGTGGTTGTCACATGCCACAGCACACGTGCCGTCAGTTGGAAGGGCCCTTTATGTCAAAGGTGTACTTCTTCGCCTGGAAAAGCTACTGCGAGATTCACACCATCAACAGCAGTCAGTCTGCTTCAGCGTGCCGCAGCATCTCTGTACCATGGAGGCATCAGACAGCAATGTCACTGTCTGACGGGTGTGTGTTTGACGTGCAGATGGGTATATTATCGGGTTAGGAATTGATAGTGCTTTCAGGATGCATGACGGCGATGAGCGTTCACCACCTGTCTTCCAATACTACCCCAGGGAAGGCAATTGAAAATGGGCAAAGGTGAACGTGAGCGGCCTCGCTCGGGTACGACATGCCCTCCAAGTACGATTTGTACTCATATATCTGCGTCCCCTTTTTTGGCAGCGCCACAACTCCACGTCTTGGCTGTGGCTGTGAGAGGGGCCTAAGCATTCGGCCATGGTGTGATGCGAATTCGATGGGGCATATGCATTACATATGTATCATGGCTAGCTGGGTATTTAGGCCTACACGGGACCACTTCATGCATAGGATTCGAGGGGTTTTGCTCGCTGTGGGGCGGCGCACTGGCTGCGGATGTTGCCGACCGTTGCTCTTCGCTCACCGCGAAGGCGACCGACCTCGCGGCCATGACGTAATTGAGCACATGACATGGCCTAGCTAAGCAATCGAGGGTGCCTTCGGGATTTGTCCCATACGGAGAGGGTGACCACTGCTGTGGGCAAGATGCCAGAGTTGGGAGTTTATGGACTGGTGGGCCGCATTTTGGGGGCCGGGTGGAAAGAAATGTTGTGGCAGAAATGGGACGAACGCAGCAGCGGAACAACACCGAAATGGGGGAACGCGAACAAGATGGCCAAGTTGTCGATTTTATTCATCTTTCGTTGGCTGTGGCGGGCTGCGTGCCGGCGTTCCGCGCTTGCCAGCGGACTCCGCACGCGAGCTCCCTGCGACCGCTGGGGGCGCCGCTTCTCAGCACCTGTAGCGCAGTTTTCGGTGCGTGGAACGGCCGCAGCAGGCCCGTGCAGCGGTGGTTTTCGCCGCACGGCTGCCGGGGGAGAAGTTTGCATCGCTCCCCGTCGTGGGATCCGACGACCGGGAGGACGACGGCGCGCTGCTCACGCAGCTTGCTGCCCCGCCTATGAGCGCCTGGAGGGGTTTGAGCGCATCGCTTCGTTGTTTTCGTTGGGCCGCCAAATTGTTTGTGGGCCTTGGTCCGGCAGCCGTGGGCGGCTCCGGCGAGAGGCGACGCGTGGCGGCGAATTTTGGCGAAGCCGGGCTTCGCCACATGGCGGCATGAGGCCGGGCTCTCTGTGGTGCTTTCCTGGAAAGGGGGTCGGTTGTAATCTTGGGGGCGCCCTGCGTGCTCGGTGGTGACTCGGTCCTCGTTTGAAATCTTTTGCGCGGGCTCCGCCTTCCCTGGTCCGTACATGCGGCTGCAAGAGCCGAAGCGTGCGCAGTGTGGCCTGTGGCCGAATGCATGATGTATTCTACGTGCAGCAATGCATGTGAACGTCACAGCGCATCACGATGTTGTCAAAGTCGCCGCTGATCTCACGTCCGGTGGGCTCCACGTACAACAGACAATTGGCAAACGGCGACCGTTTTGAAGGCACGGCACCGAAGTGTGCAGTGCGGACAGACCTTGGACGTTGCTCCAAGGCGAGAAAGAAATCTAATATCCATATGGGAAGATACTGCCATTCTGTCCAATCGTTCTCCTCTCCCTTCCCCCATTTCCCCACACAACAAGTGTTACACGTTTGTCAACTTACAATTGTGTGTGCAGTGTTTACTGCGCGGTGCATTCTAATAGAATGACTATAGACACATGAACTTCATGTCATCAGGTGATTGCGCTTCATGCTTCCATCGTCATTCTAAATATGGCAACGATGGCCCCGGCCGTCCATGGACCATCTTTGACTCAAAGATAGAGTATGGGCCGCTCGGGCCATCGTTTCTCAAGGGCTTCACGAAATAATATTTGACGGGTACGCCTGCCTCCTACGTGACGTCGTCGACAATCAAAAAGGGAGGAATGGCATCAGGGATGGCCCGGCATTTTGCGTCCTTGTTACGAGCAGTTTGGACAAGGAAATCAGTGCAAAAGCAACCCATGGGCCTTGGACACCATCGTGCATATATTTCTGAAGAATATGAACAGAAACGCCAAAAGCAATCGCACCTATTCACACAGATTCAGTTAGAAACCCTTGCAACCCGAGCAGTGAGAATGCTGTGGGTGCCATGCCAAAATCTGTGATCTTGGGATTCAAACTTTGTCGTTGAAGCCAAATTGATCGAGCTACACCCCACCACCTATTTGTAAAGCCGCAACCACCGAGAACACCAACAAGTTGCTTGCAGCTCCACAAACAGCAGTTCGATCCGTTGCAACCTTTTACAATTGGACAGCACAGCCTTGTGGCGCCGCACGTGGCGTGGCAGCCACCCGGAGTAGCCCTTGCAGCGCCTCGTGCATTTCAACACATCAAATCTACATGGATCAACAACGACTTGCATTAATTTTGGGATTCACATCGGATTCCCTCCCAGTCCGTCCTATCCCCAAACAGGTGTTCCCATTTGCATGGGATTACTAGCCCATAACGTAAACACCATGCAGGATTTGTATCAGCCATGCAGAATAAGAGGGGCAGCCTGCAGAAATAATTTCACTCTACCCCTCTACGCTTTGGCCATCAAGTTCAATGATACACTGACGCACTCGAACAACTGGCATCACGATGGTGCAAGTGACGTGATGTCACCCATCCACCGCATCCATGACCTTTCTCTCCGTGTCAGCACATGGCAATACAAATGCCTTCTTTGTCGTTCTATGATATCAAAAAACTACATCTTGTAAAGATCGTGGCAGAAACATGGCCAGACCCTCCGGGTAGCATAGTGAAAATCTGTAAAAGTTCGCCCGTCCCCTACCCCAGAGCGGTTTAAGGGAGCGACAAAGGTGGCCACAGAAACGCAGTCAAACCTGGCCCCAGCCATGCATATCCAGACGCATGCAATCCAAAAGGATATGGACAGAAAAGCTGACAGAAACCGCAGAGATTCTCACAGATTCACCTAGAAACTCAACGAGCCCGAACGATGACAATGCCATGGGTGCATCACGCCAAAAACCTAACGTTTGGGACCAAAACCGCTGGCTTTGAGGACAATCTGGTTGGGCTACACGCCTCGACATTTGTGCAAAGGCCACACACTCAGAGAACACAAGCAATGTGCTTGCAGCTTCACAAACTGTTGTTCGTTCCGTTGCATCCCCTCCGAGAACGGGCAGCGCGACCTTTTGCGCCGCAAATGTCGCGGTAGCCACCGAAAATATCCCCTCGAAACCTCGAAACTTCGTACGCGTCAGAGAATGAAATTTATGTTGATCCTCTTAAAATTCGCATCAACTCTGGGCGTTGGCATATGATTCCCTCCCAGCCCGTCCTATCTCCGAACTGGGGTCCCACATTCGTAAGCTATCAACAGCCGCTCACTTAGGGAAGACACTGAGTCGAAATTGGTGCGCTTATCATCAATTTAACGCTAAGCTCAGACCACCCCCACCAAGGCTCCTCTTGCCTATGACTTGCTTGTGTTGTGTGCTCATCTTTGCTTCGGAGGCTCTATATCATCGATGATATAATATCATATGATATATATCATGATATGATAGACAATATATATGATATAATATCATATGATATATCATCGATGAAAAGATGCATCTTTTCACAGCATGGAACAGAGCCTGACATACACTTGCCTGGGAGGGGTTGCCCTGTGTATGACCTGTTTCTCTTTCTCTTTTGTAACAAATCTTACTCCCCCCCCGAAGGCCGTTTGGATACGCGGCAGCCGCTTGTGCGCCCTTATTTCAGGTAGCTGAATTGAGTTTTACCGGACATCACTGCTTGTCTAGGGCCTCTGGATGTGGGCATTTGGCCCCGTACTTTGCAGGTGGTTCTTCCAAGGTGGCTGACCCTGGGTGGCACTGTTAGTTCTGGGTCGTTGGGCTTTGGTGGGTTGTCTTTCTGGCTATTTCTGGGGTCAGTGTCTGTGCTGCTCCTTTGCACTTTTCCACCTGACCGGTCTCCTGAACTCTCCCGGTCATGTTCCCCACACGACAAACATTACAACAAAGGTGTCCATCACCGATAACTCCACATACCCGAGGTCCCCGTTCATAACAGTTTGCCCTTTCGCTTCGCCCATACTTTACTTCACATTTCTCCAGTGACAGAAACCTGAGTCACCCCTTTTCCCGTACTGCCATCCATACCGTCCCGTTTTCTCCCCCAATTTAACCGAACTCCACTCTCTAGGGCGGGAGGGCTGGGTGCGAAACAAGATAGGAGGGGGACCGAGGGGGGAGCCTAAATAGCCGCCCCCGCTCAGCCCCGCCAAAGCCCGCCAAGTCCAAGGCGCCAAACGGGCGGCCCCTTGGACACTACGTACTTTGACTGACCCAAGGAACTAGGAAGGGCCAGAAACCCGTTTGAATACGACTGCGCCCGATTCGAAACTCGGCGCAACCCACCCAACGTCGTCCTGGGTGGAAATCTATTAACAAGATAGTTAATGCCATTTCCTGATGTTTCTAGCTTTCTGGGGTTTTCTATTTGATTTCGTTCGTTGTTATATCTCTTGGTGATTTTCCTGAAGGTCTGCTAGCTTGAACACCGCGGGTGACCACTGCGCTCGATATGTGGACCAACAATGTGCTCTCCTGTTTTGTGCCTTGTGTTGTTCCGGGGCTCCCTCCTGTAGCGCCTGCAATATTGGTGGAAAAGAAGGGGTTTCGCCTCGTTAATTTGTAATGCCATCTGCCAGCCCCCTTAGCGTCAATCCTTGTGACTATTGTGCATTGCCGAATAGCGGGACACAACCTCCGGGCAAAAGAACGAGTCGTTGCGACGCTCTCCATGCGGAGCGCGTACACGGACCGCGTGGCTGGGGGCGTTGATGAACGGCAGGGACGGACTTGTGGGGCGATGGAGTGACGCGGTGGCAGTCATGCGCCCTGGGTGGTTTTGGGCTTCAGCGCTTGGGAGTTACTGGCGCTTCCGGGGCGCTAGGTGGGATGGCGGAGAGTGCGACCGGAAATGTTGCCAAGTGCTAGGTGTCCGCCCGCAGCGCTGAGTGCAGATCATGACCATGCTTGCATCTCTGGCTCAGCAGAAACTGGAGTGGCCCAGCCGAAAATACTGGATTTCCGCATGCACTGTCTGCGGCGCAGGGAGGAGTGCGCGCGTTTCCTCTTTTCGTGGCCGTCTGATCGACAATGTCCTGTCTGGTGTTCATCAGGTGATCGAAAATGGACTAAAACCCAATTTGGATTTACATTCAATTTGGATTCAAATTCAATTTGGACTTATATTCAAAACAACGAAAGGTTGACACTTCCCATGATTCCACTCACTAAGAGGCCAAATTTCACGACTTTCCAGAAACAGAGTCTACCAACCAACCATTGCACATCCGCACTGCTGACTTCCTCTTTGGGCGTCCGCTGCGTGCAATCAGCATCGTCGGCAATTTTCAGATTGGATTTGTTCGCGTTGCTTTCTGACCGCAAATAGTCTGATGGCAGTGAGTGGTTGCCAATTATCCATGTCCCGTGAACAAACTGAGCGTCACGAGTGAAACCATGCTGTTGATCCAACAGAACGACCAGCTCAATGTCAGGTCAACAGCATGATGACCTATGGCATGAGAGGCAACACAGGCGACACATTCAACGGGCAACATGCGATTGTCACAGAACGTATTCCAATTTCGAAAGCCGGCCTACCAGCTCGGAGACCCAATACGGCCCTCCTGCCATGTGCAGGACACTCTCGCTTCAATTCGCCTCGCATTGCGATAGTGTGGTGAAGGTCCACGTGTCTTCCATGATGCGAGGCAGGTGGCACGTAGATGCTCAGAACGTGGCGTTAAAAGCAGCAAAGAAAACATCCCATCAAAACTACCAAGGCAAAGGTCGAACTTTGATTGATTAAGGCAAACCATGTTGTACAGAGAAATAGTCTACTGCCTCACCCCCGCCCAACGCGTCCAGACAAAAAAGACAAAGAAAACACACCCTGCACATCTATATAAGATAGAGTTAATACCCTTGCACGAACAACGGCCAAAGCAGTCGCGTGATCTACTTGGCCGCAGGCTCATGCTGCCAACAGTCGGCACCCCAAACTGTAAACGTGAGCTTTGGCCTTCAGCCCCACTGCAGGTAAGGCCACCTTATTGCAGTGAATGGGCTGTAAAACAAGTCCTGGTCCAACGTGCAGCAATGCTTAGAGTCGACCGCCCACTCTCGTTCCGTCTCGATGGCATTTGTTGGGAGGGCACACCCACAATCTCCCTGCAGGACACCACCCATGCGAGTGTGCTTTTGCGTCATTCCTGGTTATTGCCGCTGCAGTTCTGCTTCGAGAACAGAAACATGCTTGCCATCGGCGGCATGCAGCAAGGCCAAGGCCGCCCGAGCCGTCATTTATTCGTGCTACCTATTTAGTGTATGTGTGCATAATCCGGCACACGTTTGCCAGCAACTGACAACCAGCAAACCGAGAATATCTGACCCATAAAGACGTCCGAGTGCTGGAGGAATGGACGCTGGGTGCTCAGCAATGCTATTCACCCCCTACCATAACCACCGCCAAGGCTCAATTGATGCATTCAAGGTGCGTACACAGGTGGCCAACTACCCACACCCAGCTGCCGCGATTGGACACCTCAAGCGCCAATAAGGGGCCTCCTTGCAGGGAAAACCGAAGAACACAGCTCATCCGGTTTCCCAACCAAAATCAGGCGAAGCAGTGTGACTGACGGTTGCAATGAGGCTGTGTTGTCCATGAAACGTGCTGCCAAATGCTATCTACTATATTCGATCAGTGGATCCTCCCTTCCGATCGGCTCTCATTCAGACCCATTGCACGCAAAATGCCACAGAATCGGTGTGCCCAGCACCTTGTGTCCCCAGCACTCGACACTTACATGCATGTTGACCACCCAAACATATGCATCTAAACACTGTTGCTGTCAAACAGCATCATTACTGCAATGCTGATTGCTGATCTCACGCACACCAATTTGCAATTGTCACTGCAACAAATACTTTTTTTCCTCCCTTTTTTGCTTTTTCCTTTCAGTCATTCCTTTTCCAAGGTGAGGGGATTCCTATTTCTTCGGCCACATCTGTACTGTCAACCCTGCTGTTCATCTGCTCCTCCCAAGACTGGCTTTCACAAAATCGGGTCGCATCATCAATTGGTCAATTGGCCTCTCCCGGTTGTGAATGCACCACACACCCAATTCGTGATCCTGTATATCTCAACAACACATTCCACCCTGCCCTACTGCACAGATGTCTGTGAGCTTGGCTGATGTTGTACAGTACCAAGCACAACCCAAATCGTGATTAAACCAAACACAAGCATGCCCTGCCATGCCTCTCCAAGCCTGGCACTCACTGCAAACGCCATTTTGACCTGAAAAGAAAGAAGAGCGACTTCTGGTTGCCTTCTCCTGTGACACTAGGTACGTCGTTTGAACGTGATGAAAAAACTGAAATCACATCCGATCGTGGTTCTGCCCTGCTAACATGCATTCTTTCCTGACCATCTTTACCACATCGCTTGCCAACACATAAAACCTTTGAAAAGTGGCAATCTACTAATATGAGCATCCCCATACCGAAAAAAGAATTGTGTAGAGCCATCCCCTCGTTCCAACAAAACGCCACCCTTGCAGCCGACGTTCACCTGTCAGCGTACTATTGCGACTACTCTGGGGCCAGCACCGACTAAACGAGCTGCACAGCAATTGCTCCACGTCTTCACCCAATGTGCCTCCATGATCGCGTCCAGCCTCTGCCCCCCTCCCCCCTTTCCTTCCATCAGTCCCTTCAACAGGCTTTTGTCCAGCCCTCAAGGCTGTAAACAGGCAGTTCCCTGTCCCAACTGAATCCCTTCACACCGAGCGCTGCAGCAATCATAAACCCAGCACCCAGCGCCAGCTTATTCCCCGGCGAGCCTGCCAAGGCAGTCTGGCTCCACATCTGGCACCCTTCAAAACTTCCAGGAGCCAGCTGGCGACGTCTCGATTCGTGGACTGCTTCTCACACGCGGAACCCTCCCCGGCGTGTCGTCAATTCGCGGGCTGCTTCTCACACGCAGAACCCTCCCTGGCGTGTCATCAATTCGCGGGCTGCTCCGCACGCGTGGGCACCTTCCTGGTGTGTCACACCCATACAGCCGCTGTTTAGGTCCCTCTGCCGGCTTTGGAGTGCGAGCCTCCGTGGACAGGTTGGGGCCCTTTGGGACAGTAAGCTGACTCATCGCACTCACGGTTCGACGGTGCTGGAGCGGCTTGAAGGGGTGGGCACCACGTCGCGAACCTCGACGACTGACTTCCTGCAAACATAACAACCCCAAGTTATGACAGCCATCACTGACGATTGTTTCCAACCAAATGCAAAGCCAATGAACAGACCCCCATGCAGAGTCACCTCTTCCTTGGGATTGGTGGGAAACCTGCTCGCACAGTGATGCTGATGTTGCTTTCCTCGCAACATGATGGCGCTTGCTCATCTCCCACCTTTTCCCTTGGTTTCACTACTGTAAGCTTCCAGGCAGAGGCTGGTGTGTGCATGAGAGTCAGAGCAAACGTTGCCACAACCAAAGCCATACTGTTCAATGGGGAGTGTAGCACCCTCAGCCATGGACAGCCAATTGATAACCTTTCAACGTCATCACCATCTTTTAGTTCCAGCCCGACACCATTGATCCTGTGGGGTGAGATTACAAGTTGTCAACACATTCAACACTGTGAGAGGCACAGTGGGCTCAATACTTGGCATTCGTTTCCTTGCCCAGGTATCCACTTTGGCTGAAGGATGTTGCTGGCACTCGTCCAGGGGACCACACAAAGGGCCAGCTATTTAGCTGGAGCCTCCATGAAATCTGATCAACAGCAGCAGCACAACAGAAGGTGCTGCCACAGCAGTTTGCTTGCACACAGCAATACGCCAGCCTCTGGCTGCAATCGCAGGAGGGAGTTGACCCCAATCCTGCATGTTGTCTATTCCCTGTTGAACAATATACGCTGGGAAAACGGACCAGACAACCCGTCCAGCAAGTATCGGTTCACAAAAAGACAGTGACACCATTTTCAGTGACTCGGTCTGCAAAATCATAGCCAATTTCTGTTCCCGCACATTGGAATGCCTGATACCATTGACACAGCAACAGCCCTGCTGATGCTCACCTTGGCTTCTGGCCTGAGGAAAGCTGTGGGGCTTGGAGTCACTGTCCCTCTGGCCTCTTCTCGCGCCTGTCAATCAGCATACAGAAACGCTAAGAAAGACATCGCCTTGGGACAGGCACATTGTTTCCCCCTGAATGTTCTCATCCTCTCCTGCCGCACTTCCACTTACTGCCTGGGAGCTGCGCCTAAGCAATTGGCATACCTTGGGGGCAAGTGAGGTGGGGATGTTTCAACATACCTCGACATATTTGCAACACATGCTGTCGCAGCGTGGCATTCTGCCTGGCAACTAGCCTGGACTGTAGCTAAACTGACAGCAAGATGTCAAACCACTCTACCCGGCCCCAACAGCGATATCTTCCTGGAGATGATGCCACAAAGAAGCAATGCAGAAGAAAGCAACTCTCGTGATGATGCCTAGCCCCACCTTTGATGCCGTTGTGGGCATCATGAACGATGCAGAACATGGTCTACTGCTTCTGGGGAGTGATCCCATCACAATGCTGCTCTGCGATGAGCCAATGCTGAGCCTTGCTAGGTTTGGTGGTCCCTGCATGTGAAAGGCAATGTGGAGTCAGCAGCTGTGGACAAGATGGTCTCCAGCTCCAACTCTTTCTGTGTTCCTCCCTCACAACAACCCTACTTGACTCTTGTCCAACAAGAATGTCTGTTGCTTCGCGTGGACTCTTGGGCAGGCACTTGAGTCCACCCTTGCAAAGCTTCTTGCAGACAAGATTCGAGAAGAACAGCATTGCGAACTCATTGCACCCTGCATACAAGCCAGTAGGGATGCTGGCCAGTGGCAGCAAGTGCAGCTCCCTACTGTCACAACAATGTCATTATCTAACACAGCAAGCCTGCTCTTCATGAGGTGCTCATTGCATGACAACTGCATGGACGTTCTCCACCACAACGTGCAAGGAGGACTCCAGAGTGCAACAGCCCAGCATACAACTCAGAACAGCACAAACAGCCAACAACAGCCCACAGGGGGTGGGGTATAAGCTGCGTTACAGCGAGATAGAGAAACAGGTCAAACAAAGGGCACACAATCTTGAACAAGTGTGTGTGAGACTCCATTCCATACTGCAGAATGCTGATGCGGAGCCTCCAGTGCAACAGCAGGAGCACGCAACATGAGGATAACGAAGAGCAAGGGGTGTTGGGAAAGGGGTGCGGGAGGACAGGAGCAAACTTCCAGCGCACTGCGACTCTCCGCCGCCCACCTCCGACGTCGTCCGCCAGGTGCACGCCGAGTCGCTGGACCGCCTGCTATCCATGGACGGCGACCTCCTGGGCCCGGGCCTGCCCTTCCTCCCCCCCTTGGCCCCGCCGTGCCCGGGATCCCACGTCGCGCCCCGCACGCAGGGCTCCACGCCGCCGTCCCCCCACGGGTACATCAGGTTCCCCCCCTTGCCATGGGCCACCCCCCTCCGCGGCATCTCGCCCGACCCCTGCCCGCTGGCCGCGGTGCTCTGGCTCCTGGCGGATCCCGTCACCATCGTGTCCACCGACTCATCGGAAGACGCCAAATGAGATCCCGGGCACCTGCCCCCCTCTGCCCTCACGGGGCTGCACACCTGGGGCAGCTTCAGCCTCGGCACGCGCGGCCTGGACAGCCGCAGGCCGCAGTTGCTCAGCCTCCGCGACGCGGACTGGCGCTGCGCCGGCCTGCCGCTCGCGAAGCTCGCCCCCTGCGTAAACTTGCGCGCGGGCGGTGAGCGACCCGCCGCGCCAGCCTCGTCGGAGTCGGATCCGGACGAGTCGGGGCTCAGCGGGGCGGCGGCCTGGCGGCCCACCAGCCCGTCGCCATTGGCCGGCAGGGAGAAGAAGCTGGCCGGCTGGGACGCCCCGCGCTTCCACAACCGCCCCTCCTCGGCGTCCGGTTTGCCCTGGCTCCTGAACGTGTACACCTGCTTTGCATCCCCTGCCGAGTCGTCAACCCCATCGGCCCCTCCGACGTCCCCCCCGGGCGGCTTAAAGGCCTTGAGGCCCTCCGGCCCGCCGGATCCCGGCCAGCCGCCCGGGGTGTCCCGCTCGGCGTCGGGGTCCCCGCCCTTGGCGGGGCCCACCCCCTGGAGCTGGCCAGCGCCAGAGGTGGCGCCGCAGTCGCGCTTCCAGGACATGAGCTTGGCGGACATGGCGTAGGGCTGAGATGCGTCCCCCTTGGGCTCATCCACATTCGGCCCCTTCACGCCGAAGGGCCTCAGGCCGCCCGACAGGTTGGCGCCCGCCCAGCCGGGCTTGCTGAATTGGGGCGGGGAGGTCTGAAATGGCGGCGCCTTCGACTCTATGAATCTGGCGGGGGATGGATCCACGGGTCAGGCGACAGGCGAGGGGCCGAATCGGCGGGTATGGATCGCAAGAGCGGCGAGGACCCACAGGGAGGCCTCTCCAAGGAAGCCCCGGGGCGGAGAGGGACAGAGGACGGGGTTCTTGCATGGCACCGCAGAGAGCACGGCACACCAAAGGAGCCGTGTAGCCCTACCTGTTGATCGGGAAGAAGCGCGCGGCCATGGAGTCCCCGCCTCGCGCCGCTCCCTGGCTGGGCTTGACCGCACCTGCGGCAGCACACGCGCCGGCGCGCAGGCCGCTCAGTCGCGCTTTGCCGCGCGCCCGACCCGCACAAACACATGCCGCTCTCACAGGCGCGCGGCAGCATTCCCTGCTGCGCGCCACCACCGGAGCCCTCTACCGCGCCAAGAGCGGTCCCCGGTGCCGGTACCCGATCGGGGACCGCAGACGCGCGAGCTCTTTCCCCCACCACCTCCCACCGCTGCAAAGACGCCGGCGGGCTTCGAACCAGCGCTCAGAAGAACTTCCCAGCCTCGCCCACTGCTGACCCGCGGCTATCTTCGCCAAGCAGATCTTCAGGCAGGCTCACAGGTGGGATCCCCGCCAGCCCGCCAACGGCACCGACGGGCCCCCCCCCCCCCCCCCCCCCCCCCCCCCCCCCCCCCCCCCCCCCCCCCCCCCCCCCCCCCCCCCCCCCCCCCCCCTCGGGTGGTGGACGCTATGGCCAACTGGCCCACAGCTCGCCATCACGGCCACCAACCCCTCCCCCCAAAAGCTTTTCCAAGAAATTGAAACAACTGCGCCACGCACCTTGCCAGCCGCCGGCCGGCCCTTTCGCCGGCGCCCCGGCCTTCCCGACCTTGTCCAGCCCGCCCACGCCGTCGCCCAACACGTCCCAGTCCTTGCCCAGGGGCTCGATCCCGGAGAGCGCCTTCCTGCTGGCCGCCCCCCCGCCCGCCTTGGGCACCTCTGCCCTGCACACCTCTATCAGCGTGGCCGCTTCCTGCTCCGTGAGGAACAGCTTCTCCGCCACGGCCTCCAGCACGACCCCGTCGCCGGCGAGGGCCGCCGGGCAGTAGCCCGTCACCTCGCACGCGTCCGCGATGTCCTCGATTATGTCGTCCTCGATCTCGGCCAGCTCCAGGCAGCGCATCAAGAAGTCGCGCGAGTCGGCGTGGTCGCCGCACCAGCCGCGGTTGACCCCTGAGACCACCTCGGTGCCCATGTTTTTGGCGGGGCCGGCCGCCCAACAGTGCCCTGTGCGGAATGCGGGCCTTCGACGCCCGCCCAAGTCCGGGCAAGCGCGCCGGCTGCCGTCCTGCCGTGCGAAACAAAGTCACGCTTTGCGCTCGCGGGCCGTCTCCGCTGCGCCCGGCCCCTGCCGAGGCAGCTCGCGGCAAAAGGGAGCCACGGTCAAGTCGCGTTGATGGGCCGTGATTGCTCTTCTGGGGCCCAAGCCCGATCTTTGAGGCCTTTGGCCCGCAATGTAGGGGCGGGGCGCTCCGGGACTTTGTCGCGTCTCGGCGATCAGTCACGCCGCTGCAAGGGTGGCGGGAGCCGCGTCCCGGCCGCGATCTCGGTCCAGCCGACGTGCCCGCCAACCCGCAGCGGATCTCACCGCCTGCGCCCGTCCTGTGGCCCAGGATGCGCAGAGGGACCACTGATTCAGATCAGTCAACGTCAGGCCTGGAGTTGATTCGGTACGATCCTGGTGAGGGGCGCGACGTTCCCATGTCGGCTTTGTGGCAAAACGTCGGCCGGCGGTGGCGCCCGCTGGGGAGTGGGGTCTGCCAGGCGCGTTGTCTTGTGGGGGCCAGTGAGACTGCGGAGCCCGACGCCGGACATCCCGGCAAGCCGTGCCGTGCGCGTGTACGGGAGGTGTGTCTGGGGGTGGGGCGTGCTGGAGGAGTTCATAAGGGGGTTTATAAATGCTCCGCATGCGTCGAGTTCGATGCTCGGGTTTTGAGGGGGAGCGCCGTTGCGTCACAAGGGTCGTGGCGTCGGGCTCATGCTGCAGCACGGCGACAGAATCTGAGCGGCTTGTGGGCAAGACGTGGAGCTGGTCGCTCAATTTGAGTATCGATTGAGCGTCTGTTCTGGAAGCAGCCCCCAGGGAAGAAGATGCGTCCACTTTTGTGCATTTGGACTCCTTCAATCATTCGGCATTGTCCTCGCCCCCTCACGTCAACTGCATGTGATTTGGGCACGTCCTGCGGCAATGTGCGCAGTCGGCTATCCACCATAGCTGTCTCAGACGCCCCGACATCGCCCTGGCACCGCGCCTTGCCTGCAAGGGTATACCCTTGGAGGTACGTACCGGTATGCACAATGGACAGTACACAATGTGCTATTTTCGGCGTGTAGAGCAACGTTGTGACTGCCAAGAATTGGGCCATTTGATGACGTGTGGGCGAAAAGGGCACCAGCCTCGATGGCCATTGGCATGTACCTTGCATCGTTGGCGCGCAGCGCAGTAAAGGATGGATCACCGACACATGCATGATACCGGAGTGTCATTGCAACACAATCCAAAGGTTTCTGAGGCTGTGGTGCACGCATTCATCTACAATGCAAGCCCGCCCCTTTTTCCCCTGCGGCGGCGAGGCCGTCCTTGTCCTTCGCTGATGTACGGCGGCAATGTGAAAGCACTGCGCATGTGCATAGAGGTTGGGATCTGCCCAGCAGTTGTTATGGCCCGGGCTAATTTAGCATTCCCATCTTCAAGTTGTTCTTATTGCCTTTTGCCTTTTTTCATATTTTCCCCTGGGGCGGGGGGGGGAGGGGTGCCTGGCCTTTCCGAATTTGTAGTCTGCTTGAACAGTTGGCATGTTTTGAGAATCTTGGAAAACAGGTATAGGCAACACTGGTAGAAAACAGCCTGTTTGCGATGCCAACTGCGATGCCATTTTGACACAAATTGATGCCATCACAGTGCGTGCGCTGGCATAAAAGGGGCTGTGATGGCATCAATTTGTGTCAAAATGGTATCGCAGTTGGCATCGCAAACAGGCTGTTTTCTACTGGTGCAAGAAATGTTCAGAATCCAACATCATGGCGTGATGTCCCTTTCGCACAGTGGCAGGCTGCTTGTAAGGAACCGTTGGTATTTAGCAAATGGTGTAGAACTGCATTCTCACAGCGCTTTGTGAAAGGAGACTATAGCACTTCGAGTTGCCTGTATGTGCTGCCACACGTTGGGCTGCTTATGCTCGCTGGTGGCCGATGCTCAGACAGGGTTGAAAAAAGTAGCTCACAGTCCTGCAATTGATGCAACTGATTCAAACCGTTCTTTTCTCAGAATCTCAGGGAGGTTCGAATGATTGTTGTTGAGCTCATGGACGTTGTATTTGGACTGCAGCTCCTGCATACATCGGCTTTCGCGTCTGATGTTCCTTCAATGTCTGATTCAACGCTTTGCAAACAATGTGTTTGACTCAGGCAAAACCACTCTCGTGAACGCACAGTACCGAGAGCTTGTAGAGACGGCAACGGGACGGCCTACCCAGAATGTCTTGAGGAAACAATAGATGGTTGGCTTGGAAGTCGGTGTCCTCATATGGACTGTAACGGGCTCCCTGAATCACAGCGCCCAAGTGGAGCAACACACAGCAACCGAAGGATGGGGATTCACAGGGCTCTTCGACGTGAATGCGCGTTGGCAAACGCATGGGAGCCAATGCACCAGCGCTGCGCCATGAACAAACATCGCGCATTTGAACACACGACATTCGCCTTCAGGGTGAAAGGCAGTGAATCAGATCAGATCTGCTCTATGTTTGTGGCAAAAGCGATCAAATAATTCAAGCCACGCGTGCTCATCATGCGTTCGCGGATGCGCGGTGTGGCGCACACACTAGGAACAAAAGGACCATATAACACTTTTTGCGAACACATATATGTGCATGTCGTCAGTGCTGCGCATTCTGTAAGCTCGAAAATAACCCAAACCCGTGAGCTTTTTGCACGTTTGAACACGTGTTATTTGGCCATATTTTTCCTAGTGACAAGCGAGGGAATTCATCCATCGGACCGATGCGGCGGAATTGCATGGAAACGAGCTGGTTCCGTTTCAGTTTCCGCAAAGTGACGCTCACTAAGCATCGCCGCGTTCCCCCCATCTGGCCTTCGACCATGACAATTAAAAAATTTCCATCCTCTTCTCATATCCCGCCTTTGCATGCACATGGTTCATTCATTTTCAGACAACCCACTCGTACCCTGACCGTTCCACAGAGGTCGCTCCTCCCTTGGCTACATACACGACGCTACCCAGCCCCTACACGATCCACCTTGCATGGTATGCGGTCAGTAAGATGACTGCGCATGAGATGGCTTGCAAGTGGCCAATTTCTGTGCCGGGTGCGGCGCTTTTGTCGTTTTCGTCATCATTTGCAATCCCGGTGGAAGGAGGGGTGGACGGCGTAGAGGGGTTATTCGGCGTTGGCGGGGTGGGCGTGCCAGGGCCTGTTGGCGTTTGCATGTCATCACCCGGGCCATTAGGTGCAGGTTCCGTTGGCTCAGGGGCACCCACCGTGGGTGCGTTTTCCACAACAGCCTCTTCGGAAACGTTTAGGCTGTTCAAACGGACACACGCTTCAATTCAAGGTCCTGCAATAGCTGAAAAATTAGCGCGTGATTTCGAATCGTTGATTTTATGTCCACATTGACGGCGTCTGCATGGTTTCAGGGCTCGCACCTCGTTTGGCCGCGACCGAGTTTGTGGTTCATCAAACTTTCGCAACGCACTTTATTATGCAGCAATGCCGTCCTTGCAAATACATGAAAAGCTTGGGGCGAGTTCTGAAGCTTGCTACAACGCAGTAGATGGGGCGGGTGGGGTGCTGTTTCAATAATGGTAACAATCTTATAGTATTCATGCTGCGGTGCTAATATTGCCAAAAGGAATCGTGGCAGGCCCACTGGATATCATCTTTTAGGAGGAAATCTAACGCCTGACACCGTTTTAAGTAGCAACACAAGGGAGCATAATTTCTGTGGCAATGCAGCAAAATATGCTTCTGGTAATACACAATGGGTAGGTATGTTGTGCGCATTCAATTCTCATTGCGACAATAGCACAATATCCAGCGGCATACATCAGTCCTTGCCATTAGGTTGTGCGCAACTCTGATGCATGGTACAATAATCCTCGCTAACGACAATCACCTTATGGCTTCAAATCCTTGATCAGTGTACGCGTCTTTAAGGGACTGAAGGCCTTCATCAGAAGAGAACGACTCCGCCCTGGCGGAAAGAGCCTCAGCGGAATTGGCGGACACAGTGACCACAGTTTCCACCGTGGCGTTGACTTCGGTGTTGGAAGCGGAGATCGTCGCGCCGGCGACCGTGCCCAGAAAAGCCCTGTCGCTCTCGCCCAGGTCGCTCTCCACGGTTGCGAGCTCACCCTCAAGTCCCTAGAGATGTGAAAGAACAACTTCAAGTGCACTAACAGAAAACAGGCAAACTACACGGTTTTGAAAATCGTGCACCATGTAAATCGTGTAAAATTGTGGTAAATCGAGCATGTATTGTAAAAAATGGGACCAAACCGTACAATATCCGCTGCGTGAGTGTATGAGATTTTGGCGCGTCTTGGCACGGTTTTGCGCGATTTTTAAAATGCTGGAAACCGTGCATTTCTGGCCGTTTTTTGCTTGTGGTGTGGGTGCGTGCTCTGAGAATGGCGTCTCAACTTCCTGCGTCTGTGTCGCGCCGCTGATTCACGTTGTAAGTATCTTCCGGGGCACATCAGTGGTGGACGTGGCACCGAAATGCTGTTATGGCGAGTCCTTTTGGTTCACTCTAACTCGGAGCGCATTAAAATTGCTCAACATCCTGAAGTCTAGCACGATCCATGGTTTGCTGGCCTGCACGGAAGCATGTTGGTCAATTTCGGCCAGCGAATGGCAAGACAACTTCCTTTTGTTTGGAGGCAACGACGGGAATCTTGCACGCATTCGCTCCCCTGCGCAGGCGACCCCGCATGCAAGGTGTCGCCCGTCTGCCCCTGGTCAACGATATCACCATATGAACGGTTTGGATAACACAATTGAGGCCCCATCAGCTCGGCTTACACTATCCGCTCACCATTCTCAGCAATTAAGGACATTCATCCCCTCAATCGCACAGTGGGAAGTTGTTCAGTTCCAAAAGTGGCAATATTATCACACTGTGGTATAATGCAGCATAACGCCCTGGCACTCTTCGTCAAGCTTCGCATTTACGGCGTAAACACATATCGTATCTACGTTTCTACCCGCAAAATAGCGTTTATGTTTATAAGCGCAAACACGCGTGTAAAATACGTGAGCGCAGACGCAGCTACAGCCCTGTGTACATAGAGACAGTGCATCGAGAACCAGGGAGCTCGGGGAATGGCACCTAGACGCGCTGAAGTGGTCAGAGGACGAATTTTTACTTGACGATTTTGTTGGACATGCCGAGGGCGAGGTGGACGGCGTGTTGTGTGTGCTCGAGGGGGTGGAAGACTGATCATTGTATGCGACTTCATCATGCAGCCTGAATGTCCCAACGCGCCGCAAAAATGCGCAAATGTAGCCGCAAAAATAGGCTGCTTCTGTTTGTTTGATTTTTTACGCCTGAAAGCGTAAACGGGAAAACGCAAATGCAGGGGCCAAGCCTGCTCACCGTCTCCAGGAAGGCGTCCAGGCCGCTCTGCATCGTGGTCAGAATGGAAGAGTCCGTGATGCCATCAACACCGAAGTCTACCGTGCTGTTGGCGTCCTGCAGCGCCTTGCGGAGCCTCAGCCGCCTGGCCGGGGCCTGCCGGATCTCGAACATGGCGGGGTCGATGCCGAACTTGCTCCCGAATGCCAGGCCCAGGATGCGCGACAGGGCCGCCGCAGGCACGTCGACGTCCAGATTCATCGTTCCCATCATGCCGTATGTTATATTGACCTCCACCTGTCCACACACACCCGCCAAATTGCCAGCAATGGCCACAGAAGCATTTCTCCGCGTTGATGTTATTTGGGCAAGATTACGGTGCATTGAGGTGTGCACTGTCCTGCCTCTGGGCTTAATTTCGGCTGAGCGTTCGGGATCGTGGATGAAAACAGTGCGCGGCGCTAGTACAAATCGCCTTTAAATGACAATTTCCCCTGAAGACAACCAGAATAATCTCGCCACGACTTAGCACAATGAACCACCTGCATATGGCAGCATTATGGCTGTGCATCCCAGTGCAAAACAGCCTATCCCGAAATATCGCAATATGTCACAGGGCAGTGCTTCACAGGGCAGCGCTTCACAGGGCACCGACTGTGCCCTGTTACACGGCAGCACATCCCAGCCTCTCAAAACATTGAGATTGAGGTGTATTGAGTAACATTCCTCAATACAGTCAGATTAATCTCACCACGACTTCGCACAATGAACCGCCTGTATATGGCAGCATCATCGCTGTGCATCCCAGTGCAAAACAGCCTATCCCGAAATATCGCAATGTGTCACAGGGCAATGCTTCAAGGGGCACCGACTGTGCCCTGTTACACCGCAGCACATCCCAGCCTCTCAAAACATGCTATAATCCTTTGCAAACGCACTGCGCCACGCCCATCAACATTGAAACATGCCTCAGCGAACCGGAGTGCATCCCGGAAGATCGGCGCCCTTCGCCGACACGTCCCAATCCACCACAATGCCCAGAAACACAACAGGGAGCGCTCACATTGTAGGCGTCGATGTCGAAGGCCTCCGCCACGGCCCTCCGTATGCCGTTGAGATCCAGGCTGGTGGCCGCCTCCCCCGTGAGTCCGTACTTAACGACAACGTCCCCCACCACTTCGACTTCCCTGTTCACCACGCTGTCGTTGTACACGGTGTCCAGGCAGCGCGGCAGCTGCGCCACGTTTATCGAGACGGCCCCCATGCCGTTGAGTCCGTGGGAGTTGTCCCCAGCGGTGGCCAGCACGCAGCTGCTGAGGGCCACGGCGCCCACTGGTGGCTGGCCAGTGGGGTCCAGGGACTCATCGGCGGAGTCGAGCACCAGGACCTGTACTAGGGGAACAGAGTTGAAGACAGCGTAGCAGTACTGGTAATTTGTGAAGCGGAATGGAATTTCAAATACATAATATGTAGAATGTAGCAATGAGAGAATATACGAATAAACAATATGGAAGTAGATAATGTCATCTCCGCAACAGAATGCTCAAGGCTGAGTCTGTGACTATGGGCATATAGTGTGCCAGACCTGTGGGGACACTTTTCAGATGGTTGCAAAACACGGAGCCGCTGAGCCACAAGGGGATCTCTGACCAGCAGTGCGCGTGTGGATTGTTCGAAATACGATAAGCGCAAACTCCAAAATCCGAATTGATTTTGTTTTGTGGTTGTTGCGGATGGAATGGCGGATATGACAAAAGCTTTCTCACGAATGGTGGACTTGTGGAGTCAATGCAGGAAGTTGCTGAGATGTCAGAGGTTGGTCAGAAGCTCGTCGCCGTCTATCCACCATTTCGATTGCGGCGCAAAGTTTTTGGGTGCTTTTGCCGTGCCGAGGGCAAAAGTGGCGCCCATTTTAATCGCGAAAATTCATTGGCAGTACTGCCAGTCTGTCCGTGGCTGATCCGCAGATTACATGCGCGGGCGTGTGCGCGCACGGTAGCGAATGACAATTCTTTTATCAGCGGGATTCAGCCTGGGATTCACCAGCTCAACTGACAACCACAGGGTCGAGAAGCACCTTCACCGATCAGAGGGATTTCAGAATCTCGTGACGCACGTTGCGGCCCCCACCTTTAAAGCTGGCGTGATGTTCTCTGCCCGGTAGTACTTGTCGGTTTGTCGATACGTACCGAGACTGTCGAATTTCAATGGCGACGCCTCCAGATCAGCACTAATGTCCGTCGCATTTGAAAAATCCACGAGGAATATCTTCATCTGTGGTGCAACCACCAGAGAGAGGCTGCCGATTTGAGGTATTTTTGGTGCTCGCCTCAAATTGGGGACATTTGTGAAGCAGAGATAGTAAAATTCACCCGACCACACAGCGTTTCTGCACCTAACGTTGTGTTTTCAAGTGCACCGCATTTTAAGCTTAGAACTATTTTTTCTTCATGTGCATCAACGGTAGTGCTGATGAGCCAGATGGCAAGCACGTGACTTTGAATTGTGTAGGACCACGCGAAACGCAGCGAAAACCAGTTCAAATCAATACCACGAAAAGGATTGGAAGAGAAGGGACCCGGAATTCTCGATGGCTCATAGCCCAAATGTGCTTGGCAAATTCGCCCAGATCAAAGCGCCATGCCCAAGTTCCGAATCGGGTGAAGTTTGTCGAGTGCGCAGTGAACATAGCACTAAACACCAGTAGAAAACAGCCTGTTTGCGATGCCAACTGCGATGCCATTTGACACAAATTGATGCCATCACAGCCGCTTTTATGCCATCGCAATCACTGTGACGGCATCAACTTGTGTCAAAATAGCATCGCAGCTGGCATCGCAAACATGGCGTTTTCTACCAGTGAAAGTTATGTACGTGGCCAGACGTCCATTCACATGCCGTTTCCGTGAGACCACTTGTGTATATTCGACAATTGCGGAGACGAGATGCACCACAATGGAATAGACGACTGGGAGCCGACACAACCTGGAAGTTTTGTCATCTGATGGACGCGGTGCGATGAATGCATACAGATACAAAATTATCAAAGTACTTTATCAGAATCTCAAATGGAAATTTCATGCGCCGCACTTGCGCGAACTTCTGCAACACCACTTTCAAAAAATCGACCGTGACGTGACTTCTGGAATGTCGTGTGCCCCGCCTCAATTGTGCGAAACTTGTCCACAGCACCGGATTGCCCGCATTTCTACCCACAAGTCCCGTTCCGAGGCGGATATCCCCCCCACCTGGTTGTATGTATTCCTCTCCATCACCAGCAGCACGGGAGCCGTCGAGTTCTCGTGCCCCGACCCCAAGCGGGCGGACGCCCACTGCGCGCTCGACACCACCACGTCCGCCGGACCCGTCTTGCTCTCCTGCCAGGCCCCCAGCTCCGTGTTCTCGAACATGTACACATACACGCCGTTCACCCGGACGTCGTCCAAGTTCTCAACGTTCAAGTCCAGGGCCAGCACGGAGTGGGAGTCCTTCTGGCCGCCTGCGGGGTCCCCCAGGGGCTTGCCCATCAGCGCCAGCGCCCGAGTGCCGTTTGGGGACACCGCAACGGCGGAGAGGCCGCCGCCGATGCGGGACTCGCTCAGGGCGGACGGGAGCATGGGGTTGAGGTCGACGTTGGAGGCCAGGCTGATGCCGGACGGAACGTACCTGGAGCGATGAACGGATTCATGAATATGGGCCTGTACATGAGATGCATGAGGATATGTGAGGATGTGTGCATACATCCTCATGCCATATCCTTGCTGTCTGACGTGCTGCATCTTGACCAAAGGATGACATGGGCCAGATGGAGATGCTCCCTGTCCAAGGTATCATATCCTTGCTGCCCTGTCCTTGTTTTCACCCAAGTCTTGGTGCTATTGCAGGATAGATCCTTATTTACGCCCATGCTTGGTTTTGACGCTTATGTTTACGTTTTTACTTTCACATTTTTGCGCTTAAAAACGTAAATTTGCAAAAGAGCCTATTTTTACGGCTATTTTTACTTTTTAAGGCTCGCTGGGACACCAGGTTACATGATGAAAGTTGTGTACAATGATCAGTACTCCGCCATCTCCAGCACCCGCAGCACAATGTTCACCTCGCCTTTGGCAAGGGCGATGATGGTGCTCAACAAAAGCTCCTTTTCTGTACCTTCCAGGGCGTCTGGATGCCACTCTCCGGACTGTCCTTATGTACATACTGGTAAATTTGATGTTTATGGCCAGTGACATAATTGAAGATGAAAGCGATATTAAAAATTTTCGCGGCCACGCAACTATCATGTAAATATTTCCTTGGACATGTACTGAACTTCATGTCTTTAAGATGCAGTTCGCAATAGATTCAGCACATTGTTTCGATACGTAAGGATACGGTTTATTCATAAGCCAGAAAGTTATGGTTGCGGCGTGCCATCCTTAAAGAGAAATGCGACCTTTGCATTACGTTAGAACGGAAGCAGCGAAGGTAGTCAATGTCCTCCCTGGATGTAACAATAGACGAATCATAGAATTGCAATGCAAAGATCTCATTAATTCAATTTCCATCGACACGGTAAGAGATGCTTTGGGGAGATGGGATTACATACGATAAGATTTTACACATAAAATCGATATTACCGATATTGCTATCATGATTACCGATAAGCCTTTAAGCATGAGGCATGATGTTCATCCCTGCGACACAAGAAAGTCCACCATTGACACGACAGGAGAATGTGCCGCTTTCAGTGCCACCAAACACCGGCCCCTCCTAACATTCCCAATTACCAATCAATTATCCCGCACCGTGGAGAATGGCTGACCAGAGCTTATTTCTGTGAATTGCTTACATCTGTGAATCACAGCTCTAGAAAACGAAAGGCTCTTACTGGCGACAACAGGTACAGGGCGGGCAGCGTGCTGCGAGAGCCGATGGGCATTCGCTGAAGGTCGCGCCGGCGTCCTCACCTGTGCCTTACCGAACCACATGCCGCCGTCGACGTGTTGCAGTTGAAGACCAGAATGGAGGGCCCGTACTGCTCCACAGCGATGCAGTCGTCGGTGCCGGGAATGGCGGCGACGTCTTCAGGCTTCACTCCGTCGTCGTCCGTGGCGATTTTCGCCGTGCACGTGGAGTCGTAGGCCGTCACGCTGGATGAGCTTGTGGGGAGGCCGGACAGAGGCTGGCCGTCGGCGTCTGTCAGGTGGCACGTGGAGCCCAGCCGACCGAAGTCGAAGTCGATGTCGATCGTGACGAGGCCTGCGGCGGCGCATTGAGCAGCGTGTTGCGTCGTCATAGCAGCACTGTGCTAGCTATTTCTGTTTCTCGAAAACTACTGGCCCAGAAGTTTGGGACCCAGCCTTTCCGTATCATACCTCTTCTTAATTCTAGGCAGTTTATGCAACGAAATTTAAGCCTCAAATTCACGGCATTTAATATGAGGCAGAGGAAGTATGTCCCAATTTAGTCGAACACAAGCACTGGCCAAAAAAGTACAAAATAGCACTTTTTGCGAACACATATATATGCGCTTCATCAGTATTCTGCATGATAACAACACGGAAATAACACAAACCCCTAAATTTGTTACACGTTTGAACACGTGTTATTTGGCCCTTTTTTTCCTAGTGAACACGGCGACCATGTGTGGGGAGATTCAGTGCGTGAGGCTTTACATAATTGATGTCCAACGCATGAAAGGAGTTTCGAAACGACCCAACGTTATATCCCGCTTAAAACCTGTTAGGCCGTTGCACAGGCTAGCTGAAGTGTGCCGTACTTCAAAGGTCACCTGGCATTAACCTGTTGGCGATGCCGAGCGACGGCGCACTGCGCAGAGTCAAATGGGATCACGCAGAATCCACTGTTTTAGAATTAGATGTATTCTTCGTTTCGTGTCCGCAACTTCGAAAATTTTGTATTTCTCAAGAAGATCCTGTGTATTGCTCAACTGGATTAAAATATCTCCGTTGACTTTGTTGCTTTTGGAACCTGTTTTGTGCTTTTCCTGGACCTCGTTTAATATCGATACAATTTATTGTAGTGCTGCAATCGGCAATCAGTCAGCTTCTTCTGCACCGTGCCACACAGGACACACAACAATATAAATGCACTGCATGTACGAAGCTTAGAACGAGCATGCAGATTGGCCACTCAAATAGATTTGGGCAAACAAACAAAGTTGTTAGTATCTCATATCTTTGCTACGTTAGCGCCAGATTTCTGACTGTTTTATATTTGCTACAGTGTTTGTGCGACCACAGCGACACATTGTGCATGAACCATAGGTATATGAGCTACACATTACATTATGTGCCACAGCCTGCAAGAAATTTACACAGTCATTGCTCAGGCCACAAAAGAGGGATAGACACATACTGCTTCCATGCAGCAGCACCAATGCTTCTCGTATATTCAATTAAAGCACCGCACCACAGAAGAAATCCCATTACCTATGGAGGGACTGAATTTGGGGACGAAAAACCCCACTTTGTCCTCTGAACCGCACGACACTGTCGGGCCAGATGAAGTCATTCCCATGATATTCACGCACGTCCCATCGCCGCTGACCACAGATTCAGAAAATTCTGACACGTCTCGACCTTCTGGAAGCACCTCGAGACCTGCATGTCAAGGAGGTGCTCATCGAAGCGCTCAATATGTTATCATATATTCACAATATATTATCATATATATTATCATATATTATTCAATATATTAGCATGTATTATCATATTTCTATCCTTTGCGCAGAAAGGCCATGCTGCGCGAAACATGCAATGAGCACCCCTGGCAAGCTCGAGAATGCAGCTCCAATGCAAATTACATCAATTTGCAAATTAAAAGGAAAAAAGTTGCTTGAACATCTCTCTCGCTGGGAATGGCCGTGTTTGGAGTCTCTGTTTTGCTGCCGTGTAAGAATAACATGTGATATTCGCCGATAGACCGAAAAAACGATCGAGACGGCTTTTCCGCCGTGTACTTTACATCCATCCCACTGGAAACCTACCTGCGAAAAAAGCTGGCGCAGTCCCGCAGATCTCGGTAGTTGCCCTGCCCACACAGTCTTGTCCAAACTTTATGCCTTCGACGTCGGCGTCCGCCAACTCGGGGTTCAGCCTTTTCAATCCGTTTGGAGAGTCGAGGGGATACCTGACAGCGTCCTCAGAATGAATGTGTCAGACCGCATCAACGAAAGAAGCGCCATTCCAAAAGAAAATACACCGTGGGAAAAGACCTACATGGCTACTCATTTGCACTTATAAATGAGTTCCAAACTCTGCCGACTTCCCCCGATATTCGCAATTTGCGCCGCTTCACGTCGGAGATCTGTGCATCCGGCACACGGCCTGCCGACGGCGCTGATATGAGCGTTGCTGCCGGTGGGGCGACGACGCTGACAACCCATGCGGATGATCGCCACCGACACCGACATCCCACCCACCCACTCCAGCCCCAGTCACCGCCAATCTTCCTGCCTACATTTTTCGCCCACGCCCCTCATCGACCCCTTAGCCTGCCGGCGTTGGCGGGGAGGCTGTGGCCCCCAATATGACGTCGGGGATGAACGCTGGATCAGTGCTTCTACGCTCTCAGTGCTACCGTATCTGGTCGCCATTTGGTGGAGACTGAGAGCGCTTGGAAGCGGAAGGCAACATTAATGCTAAGAGGAGAGGACATACTATTATCTCCTCTCCTACGCATATTATTTATGATGTGCATGTTATCTCCTCTGATCCGAGGAGATAATATTATATCCTCGGATACTTGACTCACCATCCGAAAATATTGGTTTCTGGCGCCGGTGCCTTGGGAAGGTCTAACAGCGACAGGCAGGTGAACGTGGCCGGATCTGTACTGTTGCATCCTGACGTTGCATTGAACAAGGCTGTACCGTTGTCCGCAATTGTGGCATTGCAGCTGCTGGCGAGGGCTGTTCCGGGCACCTGACGCGGCAGCAGAGATCTCTGAGCCGGGATGCCGCACTAGGAAATCCTCCGTCCCGATTGGTCCATGGCGTGAATCTTGTGCGCTGGAAACAGACAAATCTAGCGCCCAAGAGATGTTGTTTTGCGGACAAGCCAAGTGGCTATCACATCTCAGGATTGTGTGCCAGTTTCACATTGTGAAAGACTATTTCTAGCAGTACTTGAAAAATCCAATAAGCAACTGATTTCGATAGGATGGAAGGAAAGGCATGGCCTGTTAAATTCCGTTCAACTGGACTTTCGTGTTGCAAAATGTGTACGAAAATTACCTTTGCCCAGAGTTGTATTGTTTTTTTTGACAAAATGCATGTTATGTGATAACTACCTTTCTAATCTTTCGAAATGACAAGCTGAACGATGCACAAAACATCTGGGAGTATTTCATCTCAGATTGGGTCGCAGTCCCATGGAACAACTGCTTACAAGGAGGCACGCTGGCAAACGTACCACATGGACTGCGCCCTGTTCCATGTGTATACAGCAAAAAATCGTATGTGAGATTCACCATGTCCACAATTTGATGGCAAGGGTCTCAGAAAATGTCACGCATACTCGCCATGGCGCATTGGGGCCAACTGTTTCCGCATTGATCTATTTGAAATCTCTCGCGAGATGTTTGCACATCCGCTCAGACCCGGTGAGTGAGCGCGCATGCAAGGAGATCAACTCCAGACGCATCAGTACTATTTTATCGGC